AAAAAATTGGATTAAAAAATTACACAAAAAATGAGGAATTTCAAATAGTTAATTTGATACTAATATCGATATATTTTTGTCAAATTTTTATGATATCGTCAAACATATATTTTATTCAAAAATAAAAACATCATTGCTTTCTCAAAATCACATAAAGTCATATTATAAGATCGACTGAGATAAAGAATAAAATGAAATATTAAAAACACGATGTATCTCGCTGCATTGCGCGAGTACTCTTCTAGTATATTATTAATAACACATATATTTTTTAACTTGTGTTATTTGAATAAATAAAATGTTTTTTTTAACTTATTAGTTTGTGATAACTGTGAGATTCAATCTCAGTCACAAATTAATTGAAAACTTAAGAAACTAATATTTTTGGTAATTTGACTTAAAATTATGATTGAACATTTTAGGTATTTTAATTTTTTTTATCTCACCTCTCTCTCTCTTTTACCTCCGGCCTCCGACGAACACCATGTGATACTCAAAATACACCACGATACATATATTGATACCCAAAACACACCAAGTAACCATTGAGACCATTTTGATACCAATTGTAGTACCACTGTGATACTAACTGTGGCGGGGACAGGAGAAGGGAGATAGGTGGTGAGGGGGTCACAGGGACAAGATCGGGCTAGCTGTCAGTAATGCTCACAGGTGGGTATTTAATGATCGATCATCGAAGACGGCGTCTTGGTTAAACAAGATGACCGGAGGAGCTCACCAGAATGGTGGTGGGTGCCGGAAAAGGCCACCTGATTTGGTCTGTGTATGTGTGTATATATAAATACATATATTAAAATAATTAAAATAAATTGAAATATTAAACTAATTAAAATAAATTGAGTAATCAACATAATCTTGACCATTGATTATTACAATAAATGGTTACGATTAATCATGATAAAAATTAATTTTTTAAATTTACAATTTCAAAAAACATATGTAAACCAACTGATTCGTGAAAGCTATGTAAACCACTCTCGACCAATAGAAAATTTTCATTTTTTATTCTTTAATTTTAATAAATAAAAATATAATTGTCATTTTACTGTATACCGGTTTATATTGGAAATGATGTAATCATTTTTAAATATGAAAACATAAATATATAAATCGTTTATATGGAAAGTGTAAATCAATTATTTTTTGAAATATAATATTAGAAATGATTTAAATATTTTTAAATATGAAAACGAAAATATAAAAAATCATTTATATGAAAAGTGTAAATCAATTATTTTTAAATATAAATAGTTGCATACAATAAAAAGGATAGATTAATACAATTTAATAATATGAAACAGATTCATATAATAAACCAAATTTATACATGTAAATAATTAATATGAAACAGATTCATAAAATGAAAAATACACATTCAACAAAAAATTTAAAGTTTCCTGCTACATGCTGAGATCCTTCGACTTGGTCATATACTCCTCCAAATTATTGATCTTGAGATGCTCGATATTGAAATCCTTCATATTCTAATCCTTGTCCATACGTATGAACATGAGGTTCTATTCTCTTCCTCGCTATTCGAATTTTTTCGTTTTTTATGAACTCATAATACACAGGATCAATAATAGAATTTAGATCAGTGCACATAATTTTATCTTCCGCCAATCTTATATCTAATGCATTTTTTTGAGCTTGAATTTCTTTCCTTCTCATCATAACTTCATTGTACTTGACTATACATTTGTTCAATTTTTTATTAGCCTTGATTAAAGTCTCTAACTTATTACTAGATCGACGCCTTGATTTTGCCTTTTTCACTCCAATTGGTCTTTGAGTTAAAGTACTATCTTTTTCGTCGTGAATATTCAACGAGGATAAACCAACATCTATCTCAGGCATCTGTCATCAAAGAAAAATTATATAATATGAGTTATTATTTGGCTATATCCAAAATAAGTCACTTTTGTTTAATCTATTCACAATAGAGATGTCCTAAAAAACAATATTTTGCAAAAAACAAAAAGCATGTAAAAAAACATAGAACATGCATTTGACAAATTCCAATCAAGATTTGCAATAGTAACAAAACCGCACAGTTAGGAAGGAATGAAATATTACATGATTTATCGAATGTGATGCATCATTACGCTTAATATGATCATAGAAGATAAACATGATATTAATGCACCAATTGAATAACGAAGTGAACTACAAGACTTGAAAGTTGAGATGATGAACTATAATAATGGTGAACTTGAACAATTACTTGCTCGACACAAAATAAACAATCTAGTACTCCACCATGGTATAAACATGTTGTTTTTACAATTGAATACGTTAATGGTAATCAATAAGTCAAAATGTCTTTAACAGAAGAACAGCAGATGTCATCTATTATGCCAAATTGGTTTCATTTCAAATATGATTGCACAACCGCATAAGTTACTGCATACATAACCCCAAATAAATAAGTATAAGCAACTGTAATCTAATATTCGTACAAAACAATTTATTTCACCCCCCAAAGGGGTGGTAATTTGATAGTTGCAATCGAAGTTTGAGTTTTTTTTGGTGAATTTATTAAAAATGTTCTTCTCATGGCCAATCCCAAGAGGTAATTGCAGAGACTCCACTCCCCAAGGCGATAGGATATGACAAGTCCCCAGTAGAGCTTCTTCCCATGGGATCCTTAACTTCATAACAAAGTACAGGTTCAACCATTGAAAAAGGTCAAGGGGATTGATCTTCAACGATTTAACGATTTGAGATTTGCGAATATGAAACGATCTCGCCCCAATTTTTGGTTAAATCGTCGAGATAAACTTGAATAATATGGAATTGAATTTTGAACATCAGAAAATCGAATTGAACTCTTGGCCTCTTCAGTTCAGGTCTCCAATAATTGTTTCCGCATGGATGTTATCCTCGGAAGAACGAAAGTTTTATTTGAATCATCCTCAGAGGCATTCAAGAACAAAAAATGGAAAAATATATCGAACTGAAATTAGTAAAAAGTACGAAAACAACTTGAAATGTAATGCGCATCTCTTCAGTTCAGGTCTCCAAAATGCTTTCAGCACGGTTATTATCAGAAGAACGAAAGTTATTATGTTTGAATCATCATTAGAGATGCACAAAAACAGTTTAAGAAAACAGAGGAAGCTGCATAACCTGATGAAGATCGATGACGCGGTGGAGATTGCGGACGCAAAATTGATGTTTGATCGAAGATATGACTGAAGAGAGGAGCAACGCGCACTTTATAGAGCAAAACCCTAAACTGATGTTTGATTCTCCAAGGGTTTTTAGGGTTTGGAAGGGCTTTCTGCCGAACTCCGCTGGGCTGGACAGGGCTGGGTTGGGCTTAGAAATAGAAAATTGAATGGGAAAGCAACATTTTTATGGGGGGTTGGACTCTTTGCACATCCACTTACCCTAATAAAGAGATGATCAAAAATCAGTCTTGGATCGGGATGAGTTCAAATTGATCTCGTTCTTAAATACTATTTATGTAACCGGTTAAAGTGTAGCTGGTTTCGGTTTCGGTTCTGAACAAAACCCAATCCCCAGTTAAGGTACTTTATAATCGGTTATAAGAACCAGGTCTAAATCGGTCATGTATTTTTTTTTTTAAATCGATCTTTTACATTTTCTTTTTGAAGTTTTTTAAATGAATAAAAAAAAGTTAGTCCAATATACTGAAAAATATGTAATTTGGTCAATTAAATACAATTAAAAATACGTTTTTTTTTGCAATAATAAGAGTCGAAATCACGAATTATAACAAGAATTGTGAACGTTTTCGAGTTGATATCTTTCCTCATAAACTATATGACTTATATATAGTGAATAGAGGGTAAATGAGAAGAAAAAAATGGTCATATGGCTGTTGAGTGTCGACAATAAAACAATAATATTTTTGAAAAGTCGGGTCGGTCCCGAGTCAGGCCTTCTGTTTCGACAACAAGTGTGATCAGTCTCGGACTGCCTGTCCCAAACTGGTCTTAAATGGTCCTGGGCCAGGCCGGCACCTTTGGCATCAAACTCACATATGATGTTTTCATTGGTTGAAATCCTATTGATTTAGGTGAAATTGATAAGATCCAATTTTTCATCTAATACAATTAATATTTGACATCCGATCGAATCCAATATAATGGATAATTGAATTGATCGGTTCCATTCATTGGATTTTAGTATTGGTTATCCATTGGATCGGATTAGATTAATTCAATAGTTTGATATAATTTTCAACCAATTAATAAACCGTTCCAACTAATTATTCATATATTTTTTAACTTATTAAAAAATTCTACAACTAAAAAACAATATCGTAAACTGTTAATAATTACATATAGTAAATAATAGGATGGTAATTGGATGATAATCAGATGGGTAATTGGATGGTAATTAGATTGTCATTGGATTAGATTGGTTCGGTTTTATTGGATTTTGAACTATCATCCAAAAACAACAGACCCAATTTAGATGTTGAAATTTTGTATCTAATCCGATCCAATTACAATTAAACATCATATTATAATCGGTCGGTCCTAATTGGATCGGATGATTTTTTACACACAGTATCCACACCAATCTCTTCCATATTAAATCAAATTTATTTTTATTTTCGTTATTCTTTTTATTACTCTTATTTAGGGTCTATTATTATATTTATGTTATAATAATATTTATTATATATTACTTCTAATTTATTATTTATTTTTTTAATCTATTAACTTTTAATTATTTAAAGTTTATTCGTATTATTTTTATTTTATTCGTATTATCTTTTGTTTGATTTAAAACTACCATTAAATAAATAAATAAAAACATGTGTATGGTTGAATTAAAAAAAATGAAACTACTGTGGACAATTATTTTGAAATAGATAAAATATACTATTAAAAAACATTATCGTTTTACTTGATACATAATACAAAGCAATTTGATATATCTTAACCAAACCTTTTTCACGGACTCGTAATATCATATATGTAAATTATAATCCACCAATGGAATGAGTCCTGATTGTTTTTTTTTTTTTTGTGAAAATAAATGACCTGCTTAACTCAACAGTTAGAGCAATGTGATATTTGAGATAAACTTTAAATAAAAAATAAAATAAAATTGTAAATAAAAATCAATATTAATTAAGGAAAGAAAAAATTACACTTTTAAAAACAAACATGGATAAATTTATTTATACTTCTATATTATATTATAAACTATTTGATAAAAACTCTTAAAAACCATTTTTTATGTATGAAGTATTACTAGAAACTATCAGAAGTGGGAGTCCGTGGTCGGAAGAGTATGTTGGTCCCTCGGGGTTGCACACGATAACGATTTTGGGTGGATCCGATCGTGGAATAGTGGTTGGGTATATCTCACACCTTTAGACTAATGAAATTGGGCCACAAAGCAAGTATACAATACGGCTCAATGTCGTCTTTTCAAGTAATAAAGTAGTACAAGTATCGGATTATCGTCCACGGAGATTGTAGCCAAAGTTAAATGAGAGTCCAATGAAAGAGATGATTTCAGATGACGATTTTTGAAAACTTCAATTTGATTGTTAAGGTGATTTAAAACAGATTACAGAATATAAAAAGATAGCAAGGGTGTAAGACTTGTGGTGAGACCCAAACACAATTTCCAGTAGCCAATGCTATAGGAATGCTACAGCAAACAGTGTTTCAAAACTTAGTTCCACCATCTATTTTGAAGGTATTCCTCTCGAACTTCACCATTGCACTATATTATAGCTTTCCAATCATATCTCTATGTGGTGTCCAGACCAGAGATAGTGACAAGATCATGTCTTCAAAATATATGGACGAACAAATCTCTTTGTTAAAAATCACTCTCTCGAGTCGATTCCCATATCATTCGAGTTGGCGTGTGTTCTAGATAGTTCATCTCTGAATCTATCGCACTTTGACACTTTCGAAGAGTGACCAACCCGTCGGGAGTTAAGTTTGAAAGATATAAATGACAAGTCTCCTTGTTGGCAACTTTCTCAAGTCTACCTCTTATATCATTCAAGTTGACGTGCATTCAATGACTTATCTTTAAGTCCATGACACTTTAACACTTTCAAAATGATCAACCCGTCAAGAAGTGTGTTTGGTTTTTATAAAAACTCGAATGAAACAATGAAACGTCATTCATGAAAACACTTAGCTACTTTCTTTTGGTTTGAAAATCTCACCTTTCCGTCTCACACCCAAGCTATAAAAGCTTAGCTACTCATGACGGGAAGTAAATGATAAGTAAAATAAATGACGGAAAGTAAAGACATAAATGTAAATAACGGAAAATAAATGGCGGGAAAGTAAATGACGAGAAAGTAAATTGCGAAAATTAAATAACGGAATGTAAATGACAATAAACGTAAATGAACGTAAAATAAAGAGCGGAAATTAAAAGACGAGAAATTAAAGATAAAAAGCTAAAAATTAAGAACTTGCTTTTCTTCAAAAGTTACTACAAATCACCCTTGGAGGGCTGATTTTTAAAGCTAGATGATGTTAGTGTGTATGCAAAAGTGAAACCCAATTCCTTCTTTTATACACCAATGAGTCACTAAAAGACAAAAGTACAAACCTCAAGGGCTAAGCTTTCTAAAACAAGTTACAAAGTACAATTAAAGCAACTAGAAAGTACATTACTCCTAACAAGAGTTTAACCACAAATTTTAAACAAAAAATTAGCTTCTACAGCTGTCTTCCACAAATCACAAAAAGACAGCAGCTTAATCAATAAATTCTCCAAAAAGCTGCGTATGTATCAGATCGCCGCTGCTCCAATGCTGTAGCATCCTGCTATTTAACAAAAAATCTCCATTAGCTTCTTCCTTGAGTATCCACAAGTTAACCACAATATTTAGCTCCATAAAAACAAAGGTATAAAAAAATTAATAAAAATGACTCAAAGTGAGAATAAAAGGAAACTAATTTAACTAATAAAACATAAAACGAGTGTTTTATATGTTGAATTCTCAACATACATCAAATAGCATATGGCGGAAACGGCGGAGGATGTGGTTTTCTTCGATTGATGAGGGCGGGGATGAGGAATGAGGTTTGTGGGATTAGGAAAGGGTTTCCTCTGAGTTGATGATCCTATTACCATTCATAGGTGTTTCTCTGGTTCAGCTTCCTCCATTGCTTCCAAATTATATTTCCTGTACAAAAATAATCAGGGGGACGCGAGAAGAAAGTAGATTGTTGGGGAAGATTTATTGGCGGGAAGCCAGGGGAAACCGAAAACCAGACATATAAGGGGAAATTGGGATTGCTTGTTTGAAATAAATAGAAGGGTACTCTCGCAATGCATTGAGATATATCTTGATTTTAATGTTTCGTTTTATATTTTGGATCTATCAATGTTATAATGCAATTTTATGTGGTTTTGAGAAAAATAAAATATTTTTATTTTTGAATGAAATATAAATGTGAAGATATCATAAAATTTTGATAAAAATAAGCGATATTAGTATCAAATTAATTATTTAAAAAGTTCTCTTTCTTGTGTAATTTATTTAATTCGATTTTTTATTATAATTTAATTGAATTTTAAAAACAAACTAATTTATTTTTTTAATAAAATAATTTTTTAAGATAATAATTAAGTATTCTGTTAGAACTCAATGATTATCATAATTATATTTTAGATTTTTTATATTTAAAATGATGTTTATCATGTATTTGATTATGTTTATCTGCAGTTAGTTATACAAATTCAAACATGAAGCTTTAATAAGTTGTACTTACGCACAATCAACTTGTAATCTTGAATTTTAAGTAATATGCATCAATAAACAGTACTTTACGCATAAAAAATTATTTTTAAGAGTTTTTGTCAAATGCTTTATAATATAGTATAGATTTATTAATGTATATTACTTAAAACTCAAGATTACAAGTAGATTGTGCGTAAGTACAACTTATTAAAGCTCCATATCTGAATTCGTATAACTAATTGCAGATAAACATAATCAAATACATGATAAACATCTTATCTTGAAATATAAAAAAAACTAAAATATAATTAGGATAATTTTGAGTTCCAACAAAATAATTAATTATTATATTTATAAAAATTACATTATTGAATCAAATATAAATTACTTCGTTATTAAACCTAAATTAAATTATAATAAAAATTTGAATTAAAAAATTACACAAAAAATGAGAAATATTAAATAGTTAATTTGATATTAATATCGAGAGCGGCGCTAAAAATATAATGATCTTGAAAATGAACGAAATACTTATAAAATGACTTAAAAAATGTAACACAAAAAGTAGTTTTTCAAATTTCTTGTTATTTTAATATTTTGAAAATAATGTAATTAAAAAATTGTGAATAAAAATAAAATAAAATAATTAATATCATGCAACTCACAAAGTCACAGTTATTTATAAAAAAAATCCATCATTACATATATTTTTTAATAAATAAATCATCGAATTTTTAAAAATTGTTTATTTGCATCATTTTAACCCAAAAAGGTTAAATATCATGGTTTATTTGCCTCACGTATCAAATAGGTTGGAAAACGATTTTCAAGTCAAGGTTTCCTTTGTTTTTAATCTATCTAGATGATTGCTAAATAACTTTTATATAATACGTAATTATCCAATAACATTATTATTATATTAAATTTAATATGTAGTTTAGTAATATAAAAAAGGTTATATTTTAATAAATAATTATATGTACTATATTGTAAAGCATTTTACTCAATCTCTTAAAAACCATGTTTTATGCATGAAATAATGTTTATTGATGCATATTACTTAAATTTCAAGACTACAGCTAAATTATGCGTAAGTACAACTTATTAAAGTTTCATGTTTGAATCCGTGTAACTAATTTCAGATAAACATAATCAAATTGAGGATAAACATTTTATTTTAAATATAAAAAAACTAAAATGTAATTAGGATAATCATTGAGTTCGAACAAAATACTTAATTATTATTTTTATAAAAAACTATATTATTAAATCAAAAATAAAAAAATGAATTAAAGAAATACACAAAAAAAGAAGAAATTTTAAATAGTTAGTCTGATACTAATATCAGTATTTTTTTTATTTTTTATGATTTCTTCATATTTATATTTTATCCAAAAATAAAAATATTATTATTTTCTCAAAAACACATAAAACCGTATTATAACATCAAATAAGACAAAAAAATGATCATTATTAAAAAAAAACAAGAAAGAGCATTTTTTTTCTTAAAAACAATTATTAGATAAAAGTAACGTTTTTTAAGAAAAAAATATTTAAAAAAAGATGACTATAATTTTTTTATAGAAATTATTACAAAGAATAATATTTTTTAGTATTAATTTAATTACATAACAAAAAATAATGTTTTTACATAGTAATCTATTTATAATTGAAGTGTTAATTATGTTTTTAGTATTTATAATTTGTTAAAAATTTCTATTTTCGTTCTTAAAATACTGAAATTTCAATTTTCATTCTTAAAGTATTGAAATTACAATTTTCATTCATATGATTTATAATTCATTACTTTTTTCGTTCTTATAATTTAATATTTAGGGGCCATTTGGTTCGTATAATTCGAAGGAATTTGATGGAATTAGAATGAAAAATTCTTTTTACCAAATTCTAGTTCATTTCTTGAAATGAATGGAATCCTTCAAATTCTATTGAATTCCAGAAATTAATGAATTAATCATTCTTTGACACAATGGAAGGAATTGAATTCCATTACCATCCACCACAACCATGTTATTATTGTTCTTCATGGCCTTTAACCCTATACTACTACTGGCACCACCATCCACCCTACCCCTAACTCCACCACTAACCACAATCCCACCAATGTTGTCATCACACCCACCTAACCCGCAATCACTCACTGCACATCCCTGCAATGACCATGCTACTATCGTTACGGTCACGCCCCTAATCTAACCCCCACCAACCATTATTATCGTTGTCACAGCTGCCAACCACCCTACCCCTACCCCTACCCCATCCCCAACCACCATGCCACTATTGTCATCATCATACCCACCCACTCTTAGCCACCCGACCATCATCCCACCACTATCGTCGTCACAACTGCCATCCATCCCCACCGTCCTTCCCCCCCAACCCCTAACCTAATCCCCCACACCACTATTGTCGTCTTCACAACCGCCACTCACCCAACCCTAACCTACCACTAAACATCATGCCACTATTGTTGTTGTCATGTCCACCCACTGCATAAATACATAACATAAAACTTACTTTCACAAAAAAAAAAGTCATAGTATTGTACTTTCATTTTTATTTATTATAACAATATATTTTCAAATTATTTTAACTAATGCATTATACTTTGATTTTTTTTATTCGTCATAGCAATGTGAAACTTTTTGATGTGAGTTGAGATGACATGACAAATGCTAACAAGTTTCTATGTCATGTCTTTGTTTACGTGAAACGTGAATGACACATCATTTCGATTACGTGGCATAAACAAACAAATAAAAAATCTTTCAATTTTTTTTGAATTTCATCCCTCAATTATTCATATCCCGTCCAGATTATGTTTTTCATTTTTCTATTTACAAAATCATTTCAAAAAAATCATCATCGGTCTATTAATTAGTTCATTATTTTTTGTATGTGAGATCTTTTGTTTGACTCTTTTATCGCAATTTCTTTTCAGAAACATAATAAATCGAAAATTAACAACTAAAAACTAAGAAAATGATTGGAACAAGATTTGAACCCACGTTTGGGATGGGAGAAAAGTTGTCCAAACAAACTCTGCCAAGACAAATTTGTATCATTATTGTAATTTCAAAATATACTGGTGACATCTAACTTTATAATACGATTGCATCTTTTACGAGCTTAATTTTTTAACTTATGATGAAGGAACGTAGAGATGCATGTGTCACTGTATCTAGTAAACTGGGTCCGCCCTGACTAATTGTTTTATATCATATAATTGTCAGAATATTTACACAGTTGTAAACCTAAGTGATCTTTTGTAATGTGAAATGAAGTCTATAAAACACCAAACAAATTTGGTATTTTATGCTTAAGAAAATTGAAGAATAAAACTTCACGAACAATCCGTGAATATAACTAGGGGTTGGGTTCCGGTGAGAAATGTAAGAAAAAATCTCCACCCTTGGATGCACATTAGAATGAGATGCACCGGATTAATCCTCATATCAGACGCGATTCTTGGGTGAGTATGAAATTAAAGATGATCAAGGTCCAAATCTCTTCTCACAATTCTCATATATAATTATTTGCCTATAAGTGGATATCCATCATGATAATGTTATAATAACTTATTTTTGAGAAATTGACCAAAATAGTCAATCTTTCCGATCAAATTCATTTTTTAGTCATTTTTAAAACCAAATTTCATTTTAGCCATAATTTACACAAATGTCTTGCGCATTTACATAAAACCTATTAAAAAATATTTTTTTAACGCAAATGTGGATCCTTATGCAAATCTGCATAAGGATTTTTTTTTCATCTAAAAATTGAGTTTATATAAATGCGTAAAATAAATACATACGCAAACCCTGACTAAAATAAATATTCGACTATAAAATGACTAAAAAGAAAATTGGTTAAGAAGATTTACGATTGTTTCTTTTTGATACATGATCTTATTGACTAAAAATAGGCGTTAAATTGTTCACAAACGTCCATGACTCACAATGACGGGTCGTTGAACACTTGACATGTGACGACTAGATGTTCAAATTGGGCAGTACTATTAGAGGCCAAAAATCATAGGTTTATATGTCATCCTCATTATTTGAAATCAGTGAAGTTTTGTCTCATCCAACTCCAGCCTTTTGTCCCATATGTTTACCTCAAAAATGGAACCATAAATTTTCTCATTTCCAGTTTTTGTCCCATATGTTCACCTCAAAAATGGAACCATAAATTTTCTCTTACCAAGCGCAACCTAAAAGACTTGCCGTGACGTAGGGTTCGATTCCAACGTTAAACTAATGACAAGCCATGACCCTCCTTGCGTGATTCTTGTAAGGGAGTGTTTTTTTTAGAGGTATTAAACAGTAATTAATAATAATAAAAATAAAAGAAATTGTTTGGTTTTATAATAATGAAAATATATGTGTATTTATACAATTGTCTATACTATGAATCCAAAAGTGATTAGGAACTCTGAACCGCTCACAGCACGTCACATGTCCTTTTCAGGGTAAATATCGGATCATGAATAACACATTCACGACGAATATGAAAGTGTCATTCATCACGAATCACACATTTATGAAAAGGGTAAATATCGAATCATTAATAACATATTTACGACGAATATGAAAGTATCATTCATCATGAATCACACATTTATGAATATGTCATAACATTCATGATGAACAACACGTCCATATTCCTAATTAATTTTAGATTTCTAACAGAATCCGCCCCGTCCATTTAAAACCTTGTTTGAGATCAATCCAGAAAGAAGTTTTGTCTTTTATAACCCAAAATTCAATGTCCCTGGCTGTTACTATTGCGCATGGGGTTGGAATCCAACAAGCACCAAAACAAGATAAAAAGGCAAACTTCCAAGCCCCACAAGAATCAATCTCCCAGTCAATCATAACAAGCCATTCCCCCTTTCAACATCAAAGTCTAGAGGTAACATTAAAACTTGAAATAAAACATAAAAAACAATAACGAAGCGACTACAATTGCACGGTCTTCGCCATTCCAAAAGCGGCTGCAGATGCTATGGCTCCAATTAGGGCCGTTTGTAGGGCGCTCCACACCGGTTTGTTACCAGTGAAGTAACCTTTGGCGAACCCAAAGATGAGCAGGGCGAATATGGTGACGATAATGGAGGCCACCACAGCTTTCTCGGCAACTGGGATGAACATGTAAGGAAGAAGGGGGACCAGTCCACCCAAAACATATGAGATCGCTATCGTTAGGGCGCTCTGAAGTGCTCTTCTTGGATCAGGCTTTTCAAGTCCAAGTTCAAATCTGGATCACAAATAAATAAAGATTAGAGACCACAAACCCACAATGTCAATCAAGATTTTCTACTAGTTGTCTTTTTAATTGTGGGTGTCTGGTGTCCGGGTCAACTTGCCCTCAGTGCGAATAATCAATGGGGCTCTGAAGATAACGGTTAGGAAAATCTTCAGTGGCCCTAAGGAGACTCGAACTAGAGACCTATGGGAGATCCCCAAGCCCTAGCTTTTATTTGTCAGTTGAACTAGCCCTTTTAGCTGTCTTTTCAAATCACTGAATTTGGATTTTATTGCAAATAAATCACCGATTATGGGAATGCATAACAACACCATCGTTCGCAAGAACGAGCATTTTCGATAAAAGTACTCATTCGTACAAACTATAATGTTCTTTTACCCCCTCTTCGCATTTTTTCTTAAAAAATGGTTAACATGCATTGAAAATCAATTACCATGGTTAAAAATTCACCACTTTATTCGACTTTATCTCAAAGAAACAAATGGCTAGAATGACTATCAGACAAATTTCTAGCAGCTTGTGGGATGTAGTCATTCCAGGATAGTTTATAATTGAATGGCAGATTGCTTCTGGTTTGCAAGATGCCACATGCATAAACTTTCCCTTAACTAATGAAGACAAAACAACTTAAGAAAGACATAAAAAGACAAATGATATTTAGCATATCGATATCTAATTTACACTGATTACTTCATGTTTAGCATTTCAAGATTCTGTCTGCTTGCAATCAAAAAAATGAGTGAGTGGCAAACCGACCCTCAGAGAGTTGATTACTTCATTTCAAGAATCTAATCTTACCAAGAGTTTGGCCTGATTAGAATCAAAGTTCAAAGCCTAATTTTTATAGTAATCATGGGTCATGGATATGTATGCACCTAAAGGTAGTCTTCTAACTCAAAAATATATAAAATTTTAGAGAGAATATTACTTGGATCAAAAGTAGTAACACTTACTTCATCATGAAATCAAGCCATGCTTTTGGGTTCTTTCTCAGAGAATTCACCACAGGCAAATACTCATGTGGCTCCACCCCGTAGTCCGCCAGTATCTCCGCCACTTCAGCCGCCTCTACAGTTTATATATACCATACAATCACCATAAATCAATGTGTGTTTTTCTGGGTATGTATTTAAAGTTTGAATGAGATTAAGAATTAACCTGTATCAGGTATGGTATCAATTTCTTCTTGTTCCCTTCTTAGCTCTCTAGTGTAATGATCAGCCTCACTTTTTGCAGCCAAATACCTACTCATTAGAAGCCCATTTCATTAGACACACCAGAGAGAACATACTTTTAAGTGATCAAAAAGGGTACACTCTTTTGACTTGTAAATCAAATGGACTGCCTCCCAAATTCCAAAAGTGGTATTGTTCATTCAAGTTCGATAAGTGCATAAAATCAGAATACAAATACTGCAAATAAGAAGATGTTGGTGCTGATTCCGTCGTGAATTGAATCCATATCAAATATTGAGGATCGAAAATATTAGGTTTGACTCAGAAGCAGAATTCTATGATCCGACAAAACCTACATGCAATTTGCTATGGTGTAATTCAGTAATTACAATTTTGATTCTATATCAAATTCGAAACCAGATGTCGATGATGATGACATCCATTTAGTGATAACATTATCATAACGAAAAGATGCTCATAGTCGAGTGACGTTTTTGGAATATTTGCTCATGAAATTAACCAATTAAACCTTAGATCAAACGGAATGGAAGAAAGTTGGTTTACCCGCCGAGTCCCATAGAGATAGCGCCAGCAGCGACCTCAGCTATGCCGGCGGTAAGGATGATGGAAGACGAAGCATTAGCACCAGAAAGCCCAGCTGCAAGAGCGAAAGGAACGGTAAGGCCATCGGAGACGCCAATGATGATGTCACGGACAATTTCACCGGCGGTGAAGTGGTGCTCCTTGTGGCGATTGAGTAAATACTTTTCCGATTCACCGACGTTCCCCATGATTGATTTTGTAGTGATCGAATCGACCAGTGAATCTCCACTGTGGTGAGTGGAGTTGGTAAGGGATATATAACGAGTGCGGATGATGTGGAGGTGAACAGGTTGATGGGGGCAATGGGAGAAAGACGAAAACCTTTTTCTGCAAGCGGTCCATACAAATCGGAAAAGTCGCCTCGACAAATCTAAAGTTTCATTAATACCCCTTCAAGTTTACCAAATTGCATATCAGTCCTTTACAAATTATATTTATGGGTCATTTACCCGTAAGCGCTTAGCCGTAAGAGTCAATATTTTAACTTAGCTTACCAGATAAGATTTTAGTACATTAAAATGATATCGTATGTAACAATTTTTTCGGTAAAAGCGTTTACCAGTAAGACTCTCATTCTTTGTCATTACTCTTACCGAGTAAGATTAACAATCTTTGTCATGTTCATCCGATAAGTTAAAGTAACTTGCAAAGTGTTTGCTGGGTAAATGTTTAGTAAACAATCCTCGAGTAAAAATACAATGATGGGTATAAATAAAGATGTACAAAAAAGTCCAATCATCCGGTCCTTGCCAGGCTCAAAAGTGGTCCAGAGAAGCTTTAGACCTAGCGAGCCTGACACCCACTCCGGATTAGGCCTCAAAGCCTGACTGAAATTTTGGGGAGCCCGACCTGACACAGTTGATCGGGCACTCTTTTAACAAAAGTTTGGCTTGACTCGAGCTTTATCAAAAACTGCTTAAAAGATCCAGATTCAGGTCCAAAAAAGTCCGAGTCTTGTGTATCTCTGAGTATAAATAGCTATACATACAAATATACCTATAAGTTTGTACAACTCAAGGTAAAGCATATAGAATGAATATTTTAGAGGAATTTTTTGTTTTAACAAAATCTCAAAAAATAGAAAATCTAAAAAGGAAATAAAACTCTATCCATATTTGGAAGAGAGAGGATATTTCAACAATCCGTTAATTAATTTTTTTTCCTTATCTAAAGAGAAGAATGAGGAGAGAGAATATAGAATTGCGATTTTATAAAAATTTTATTATTGTATTTAACTTTTAAATATTTTAAATATACATAATTCAATAATCTTACTTGGTAAGAACGAGATAATGATCAAAAGTCTTACCTAGTAAATGAGTGCGATGACTCTTACCATGATTAATGTTTATCTGGTAAATTATTGCATACAATGCCGCTTTGATGGATTAAAATCTTATCTAGTAAGTAAGTGACAATGTTGAATTTTACCGTAACCGTTTACAGGATAAATATTTGATAAATGACCACTAGATCATTAGGTCGATGCCTCCATTATTGGAGTTGATCGACACTTCACTTTCATAATTTTACTTTAATCTCATTATTATTGTAATAAGTTTATGATGCACTAAATAATTGCTTGCTCTCAACTATATGGATATTCTTGTTACTCTAAATGATAATTCAAAAAGTAACCCTTAAATGTTAACTTGAATACCGTAAGGGGTGTTAAATTAATTATAAAAGTTGAGGGTTCATATTGTAAGTTTCAAATGATGAATTTTGAGTAGTGGCAAACTTTACATCGTGGACAGTGGATGCTAGACACGTGGCAAAATAAAAGAGAAATTCCCAAGAATAAAATAAAGGAGAAGAATAGACATCAAATTCATAAGAGGATCTAAATTTCTTAAAATTGGAAATCAAAGTTCGTAATTAAGAAAAAAAATTAAATACAAATTTGGTTTATTTCATTTTATAACGGATATAGTCCTTACTCTAACTCATTCAGTTAGATTTTCGTTAGTGAGGGGACATTTTTGTCCATTTATCATCATCTTTCCTCAACTTTAATTTTCAATAACATATTTGATTCCTCAAACTACTTTTATTTTGTAACATATTTGATTCCTCAAACTAATTTACATTATTATAATAGATTTGGTCCCTCAAACTATTTTTCATTTTTATAACAAATTTGGTCCACCTCTCAACTTTCATTTTTAAGATTTGGTCCCTCCATTTAACCAATAAAAATTTGTGGCACAAATATCTATTTCTAAAATATAATTAGTAGAGTAATTAAATAAAATTTGAAACGTAAGGGTCGTTTACTAAATGCTTACCCGGTAAGTACTTACTGGACAATTTTTCTTACTGGATGAACATGGCAAGGGGCAAGAATCTTACCCGGTAAGAGCGATAATAAGAATGGAGAGTCTTATCCGGTAAGTGATAATGATGACTCTTATCCAGGTAAACGCTTATCTATGTAAATTGTTGCATAATATACGTTTTGATGTACTACAATCTTATCCGATAAAATAAATTATAATGTTGACTCTTCACGGTAAGCGTTTACCGGGTAAACATTTAGGTGAATATTTTATCTTTTCTGAAATATTACTTCCATAAAATCTTAGCTCAAAAAACATAACTTAGATAATATATTTTTAATTAGTTGAAAAATATAAAAAGCTTTAAAATTAAATACTCAACGATATATTAAATAACAAGACATAAAAGTATAAGGTTAAGTAATTTAATAAAACTAATTAATATAAAAAAATTATAATTACATAACATATAAAAATATACTTTTTAATGCATATAATTAATAAACTAATAACTATATAAAAATGTTATAATTTGGCATTAACCGGTGCACACACATACATACACACATATATAGTGAGGTTCAATAGTAAATAATATATATCAATCATTACATTAATTAATTCAACGGATATAATTAAATGGACGTTTACAACAATATATTTTAAATTAAAGAAACCTCTCCCCCACCTATTTTGTAATCAAAATATAAACAAAAATTGAGCGAAATAAATTACACCAAAACGATCATATTTCTCACTAAATTGACATCCATATGAATATATTTTTTTCCAACCGACTTTTCGTGGTTTTCTGATTTTTTGTTTATTTTGTGTCGAGAGAGAGAGAGAGAGCCGAGTTCAGTAAATAAAAGAAAAATGAAAATTACTAAAAAAAGGATGAAAAATAAACCAGTATAGTGTAATTTATTCCGCTCGATTGTTATTTATATTTCATTTTTTAATGAAAAATAAGGGTGGTGAGATTTTTCTTAATTTAAAACATATCGTTATAAACGTCCACTTAATTACACCCGTTAAATCAATTTAATGATTGATGGAGATGGTTTCTTCTGAAGAGTTGAAATTCACTATGTGTGTGTCTATATATATACATACACGTGTGTATATGAATGTGCATGTATATACGTATGTAATACATGTTATATATTAAAATAAATTAAAAGTATTTTATATATATATATATATATATAAGTATAATTAATTACCTTAATAAACTCAAAGTATAGAAAATTAATATTTTTATTTTTTTGATTTAATTATGGATTTGGTCCCTATAGTTTGTTAGGCTTTATGAAATTGGTCCATCAAGTAAAGACAAAGAAAATGATGAAAACGCCCTCAAGATTAGCAGAAGAACTGAATGTCTATTAGAAGAAGGGACCAATTCATTACAAAACGACTTCCGACAAGTCATAATCTGTAATAAATGAAGTTCAGGGACCATTTTCATAAAACCACCAAACCACATAGACCAAATCTATAATTTACTCAAAAAATTAAAGTTGAGAAAAGAGGACGATGAATAAACAAAAATGACTTCATTAACGGAAACTTAACTGAAAAAGTTAGAGCAAATACCATATCCGTTAAAAAAAACTACAGAAACATCCCTCATTAATAATTATTTTCAAGGAATTTACTTGTTAATTTATACGGAACTCAATTAATTATTATTTTTAATTAAATTCTGTCAACAACCCGTTGGTAATTTTAATCAATCAAAATTATTTATTTATTTATTTTTAATTTTGAAAAACATGATTTTGGTATTACTGACGGATTATTGGGGACACTCTCATCCGCCGGTATATAGTTTTCAAAAAATCGTTTACAAAAAGGTAATTTACCAATAAAAACAAGTTCTTTATAAACAAACAAATAATTACAAAAAAATTAATTTAAATTAAATCCCAATCCAAATCTTACAAACCAGACATGATTTTATAAACGAATGAAATTCAAATCCTTTTCAAATCTTACAAACCAAACTTATAAAAGGATTCCAATCCATTCCAATCTAGATCTCTCCAAATCCAAATTCCTCCATGAAATCCGAGCCCCTAAAAACCAATCATACAAACCAAATGGACCCTTTTGTAAAACATGTTGTTCAAACCAACTTTTAATTCTATAGGGTCTGAAATTAACGGTCCAAAAATATATGGTAATTATTAGGGGAATCAAACTAATCGCCAATGAGAAACAAGGTTCCGAATGACGTGAGGCTTGACGTGGCGGCAAGGTTAAAACTCAAGCCCTACGAGTTATGACGAGACCACGACACCTTTCAAGACGTGTTCTATGGCAGCATATATATACATATATGTGTGTGTGTATATATATATATATAATTGTGTGTGTTAGTGTTTGAATAATCCCGTTATAACAATGTAAATTCATATTTAAAAAAAAACCATTTATATCAAATGTATCAAGCTTATAAGAAAATGTTATCAAGAGTGTAAAATCGAGATAAATCTTTTGAATCTCAACTCACTATTTTTTCAATCTTTAAAGAATTCATGTTCCACTCACCGTATACGAGAATAAGAGTACGGATTCATCCATCTAGGGTTTTCGTTTTTATATTCCTTTTAATGTTTATTTAAAGTGACATACATAATTATCACTTATGTTCATATGTCTAAAAAAAGGAAAAAAAACCCACGTTTTACAAAATAACGTGTCATGACATGCCATAACGCGTTACAACAAAACAAGCCTTAGAGTGTATCCATAGAGATTAACGTGATAACGAAGGCAAACGTTAATACCAAAACGAGTTATTTTGAACCACGAGAAACAAGCTTAAAGCATGTAAATTTAATAAATGAAATTTGATTTGGCTTAACTTTTTTAAAGAGTGTCTAAATAAAATAAGCTATCATATTAAGTCATGTTATTTTAGTTAATTAAAAGGGAAAATAGTAAAGATGATTGAAGGCATGGATTTCACAGGTTTGGCCTGCCATCCCAGATTGTATTTTTGAAAACCATGGAGTAGAAACAATGTTGGAAAACATAGGTGGAATACAAGTGTCTTAATGAAAAAGCCAAAAATGGCTAACCAAAATCACGGATTAGGTAAGACGAGAATGCACGTTTCTTTCGCTCATCGATAGGAGTTCGGTATAACAAAAAGTCACTCATCAAAATAGGAGTTCGGTATAACAAAAAGTCACTCATCAAAATAGGAGTTCGGTATAACAAAATGTCACTCATCGATAGGAGTTCGGTATAACAAAACGTCACTCATCGATAGGTGTTCGGTATAACGAAAAGTCAAAAACAACATTCATGGGTTGACCAGTAATGCCAAATGGTTCAAAGAACCGTTTGATGTTGAAACAAAAAGAGATCCATTTTACTTTTAATTCTATTTTGAGGAACCGACTTTTAAAATATCATTGAGGGTAATGATTAATTCATTATGACATGTCAAATATAAATAAAAAACTAAAAATTACAAAAAATCCATGTCATTATTTAAATACCACGCCATCAAATTGCCTAATCAAATCGCCCGCTCCCATCGTGTACTAGCGTTGACATAGCTCCAATTAAAAGCTAAGAGAACGAGCAATAATTCGATATTCTAATTCACGTTGTTGTTCGAGAAGAAGGTCGAGATGTACTAATGAGAACAGCGAAATGCAGTCAGATATGGAAACATACAAAAAGAAGAGAAACAAAGCCAAAGCAAAGGAAGCACCCTTAGCTCTCGATAAACCCTGTCAACAGAAAGGGGGCTCTGTACCGAAAATGCAAACACGCTGCTATCAAGAATGCTACGAATCAGTTAACTCGTTGGGAGAAAGTAGAATAGGTTTTCCATTCACAGTTCCCATTCACAATTCCCATGAATAATGGAGGTGAAGTCTTTAAAATTTTAACTTAACATGAATAGTCTAGTAATTTAGTAATCTCCATTATAACCAGTGTTCTAAAAAGGCTCGCGACGAGGCCATTGTGACATGTGTGACTTAAGACTTGTGTCTCATACCACATTAAACCTATGACACATGATATTTGAGTTTTTCTTATGTGACTTGCTTTTTAATTCTTAATATATAAACTAATTCAAATTGTTTGATATCATTAAATAATTGAGTAATAATAAAAAAACATGTGTATATATAAAATTATATGTAGTAGATACAAATTTGCCGCCATAAATAAAGCCATGTAAAACGTGACCTCGTTGTAGCTCTTAAAGCTTGACCCAACCACTACGCCATGCCTCACATCATTTAGAACCTTGATATAACTGAAAATTTTGTATTTTTGACGCATCAAACATGAGTTTTTTTAACCGTGGCTGTGTTGACCAGCTTGCACGCACCTCGAATGATCCAAGAACCCCGTGACCAAACAAGAAAAATTCCTAATGGCCTTGTAGGACTAGAACCAATGACCTATGAGAAAAAAAAACCAAAGGCGTAAATCTTATTACCAATTGAGCTAACCCCACAAAATTACAAACACGAGTTATGTTTTGTTCCATCTTGTAGTATACTGGTACCCAATGCACAATTACGTCTCAGGGGGATGTAGTGAAAAATCTCATCTACCTCGTGTTAACCCAAACACTGCCAACGCCTTTGCGGCCATGAAGGTTCACCTGCGATGACTCCAGGCCATTCGTGATCGTCTAGGGGACTAATCGATGCACATAAGCTGACCTAGAAACATATACTCCCCCCCTCCCAAAAAAAAAAACAACAGTTGCTCCCATCCACGTCTTTATAACCAAAAAAAAGTCTCCTCACCCAACAATGTAAACTTCACTAACTACTGAAACCATATTAATCTGGCTTTAACTTCTAGCCTATATTTTCTTTACAGGATACATAATTTCTATCATTCCTCAAATACATCTACAGCTTTGGTGCGTGGTTAGAACACTATGTGCACATCTCATTTCTATAATTCTCATATCGAATATAAATCATACTTCACCATGCTCATAGCTCTGATGATATTCCTAATCCAGCGAAAACGCTCCATTGCAGTACCTGCATGATAAAATACAACATATGTCATACATTCTTCTGAATTCAAATCAACCCAAAAACATAACTAAATTTGAAGTTCCAATAAATGTTCAAGCTTCAACGATGAGTTACGTTAAGAGGGATAAGAGCTGCAACGAGCAGTGTTCTAAAAATCCCTCCTTCAGAAAATCAAGCAGCCATGGCAGGTCAGAATTAATAAAGTTTACCCTATTAATTCCAGTTCACATTCTTTTTCTGACGATGTGTATTTATGTGATTGGTGGACAGGAATAAGATGTGAGAATTTGGTATCCTCGTTAGAATAATCAAAACCTAATTCAGAAAATATTGTGTCCAAATTCAAATCAAATTCTATCTTTTGTAGCCTGCTATTTTGGGCTTAATCTAAAAAACAATCATGCATTGTCACCTGCCTAAATGCCGACCAAAAAGGATTAGTCATTTAGAAAAGTAAGTGCATCAAAATAATGTAGTCTAAAATCCGTAACTTTCATACGATTATATAATCTGAGTATAATTATATAAAATATTAAAAGGAACAACTCATGTGTCTGCTTAACCCTATATAGGAGATGTCTGCTTAACCCTATATAGGAGATGAAGCAATAGAAGGTCAATGGTTGGCTTAACTATGTGCAACACTTTTTAGAGTACTGCACTTGAGGCCTCGCCAGTATAAAACATGCGTAAATTCACAAATCTAATGGTGAGATCAACATGAAGCATGGGGTCTTAATATTCATGATATGGTTAAGAAAGACACCTACAGATGATGTAGTCATGGAGTAGCATAGACGTATAACTAAACCAAACGAAACTACCCCAGTATATTGAGGCCAGGGTCAGTTTGTTAGCAGCTTAATGAGTTAATGGGATTCGCAGCTTATTCGGTAAGCCATACATGACTGTTTGGTAGTGGATTATGATATAGAAAGTGGCTTATTCAGTAAGCTTCTAGGGGGAGCTTTATGCAGAAGCCAAGTTTTTTTCCAGACCCCCCTCTCAATTAAAAAACACGCTCTTTCATCTATGAAAAAACCCTCCCAAACAAAAAACCTTCTCAATCCATACGGACAAATTAATCCACACATTACAACTTTATTCATACAAGACTTGATGGAAAACCAACCAAACAGCCCCTAAAGATGTATGCAGACCTGAGCCACTGCTTCCATGAAGAACCCCCCCCCCCCCAAAAAAAACAGCTAAACTAGACATATAACAATGCAACTAAAATTTTCAATGTGCGGCATCTTACATGCTTATAAACATTGTTTGAAATATGAGCAATTCTTTGGATATCTAGCACGACATGTCGATTCAACATCAGTCACCAAATAGTCCACAGAATATAAAGCCCAAATAAGGTGGTCCTTAATCCGGCCACATGGTAATTGAAAACTTATAACTTGAACGAACATAATTCCAAATGAATTTGTGAGGGAATAGAGAGAATACAGACAGTGAAGGGGATTTACCTGTCGCTGAACTTCTCAACAGCTTCTGAGGCATACAGAAGAGTTTCGTTGGCCTTCTCAAGAACTATATAAAGTTCCTTCCCTCTTGTTGCCCGAGCAATCACCCAGGCATTGTTTTTTGCTCTAATGCATATTTCTAGATCCTTTTCATGATCCACACAATCTCCTTTTGCTCTGTTTTTCTCCAAATCAACATCTTCTCGAACCTTATTTATGGCGAGTAATGACTCCTGAATGTTTTAAAGTTGAGCTCAGCTTACAACATGGGTCTTAACCACTACATCATATTATATACAAATGGCCAATTGCAGATGCCTTGCATAATAAACAGGGGATGGCCAAAATATTTGAACATGTATTCAAAGAATCTTGAAAGTTTGAATTTGCTTAGCTAGAAAGCAATGGATTGACACCCTTTCCACGACTCCATCTGATATTTAATTTTTAGATGATGTAAAAATAGCAATTAAATATGGACATACAATAAATATAGGCATCGGTGTTTATGCATTTGGAATCATATGCTACATGAACAGGATTATCTAGACACAATTCAATTAGCATCCAAGGATGGTGTAAACTGTATTTCTTTTAATTTCACAGAAACATACACTAGTAATTTATTATTTCGGATATATGTGCCAACAACCTCTATGAAACTCCATTCACGCTCATAACCTTTGAAACCTTCAAGAAGAATAAGATATTGACGTTTCAAAGCTTATACACATGCAAAATGGGTCATGCTTTCAAGAACCCAGTTTGCTCAAACTATCACAACAGGTCATCTATTGCCAACTAGAAAAGTGTAGCATCACATGGTTGACAATCTCTCCATTATAAATTTGCTTGAAGTTACATAATTTGCGCTCCCAGCCATCGTCAATATAATTATTATTCTTTTCCCAGAATTCACATACAAAGACCTTCCAGCCTAGTGGTAAAGGCTTGGGCATGGCATAGTCATGAACCCGAGTTCGAGCCCTGGGAGGGGAGTGTTGGCGACATTTAAGTGAGGCCATGTTTAGCCTCCAAATTTGCCGGGGATTAGTCGGGCTTTGGCCCGGACACCCTTACAAAAAAAAAAAAAAAAAACAATCTTCCAAATTCCCGAACCTACGTAGTAACTAGTAAGTTTCTCTCCACTCAAGTACACTACACTATATTCTGGCCTTCCATATTTTCACATTTTCCTTAAACCATTTGTCCTTTAACTAACAGTAACGTTCATAAAGTTCAAAGGTTGGCCTTTTCATACAGCAAAGATGATTTATTACAAGAAGAAAAAGAAATCTCCTATACAAATCGAGTTAGGTTCAGATAAAAATCATACATGTAATCAAAGTAGTTAAAGGCTCAAGGTGCACTTAGACACAAAGGGGTCCAGGGGACTAGGTGCGAGGAGAAGGCGTGAGGCGCGGGCCTCAGGAATGCGAGGGACATCTTATCAATATATATACACACACACTCACACACAGTTACACACAAGTCTCCAATTCAGCAACTAACAGTACTTCGATAGAGGCAGAAGGGTTTAAAGCGCCGTGGAGGAGAAGTTTCAAGGTCTGGGTATTTATAGAGGAGGAGGCTTGAAGTTCTAAGGACTTGGTATTTAATATTAGGGTTTGACTTATGTCATCTATTTAACAACACTTCTTTAAGAAATTTAGAAGATTAGTGAGAAAACTTATTTAGTCTTAGGGTTTAACTAGGTATTTAATAAGTCATTATGAGGCGCACCTAGGCCCACAAGGAGCCTCAAAGGCGCAGTGCCTTAGTGAGTCCCGTGAATACGCTGACCCTCGACTTGAAAAAAGCCCAAGCCCAAGCCCTTGAGCCTTATGAGTCTCAGAGTGAGGCGCGCTTTTAACAACTATGAATGTGATGCATCAAGACTTGGAATGAAACAACCAACACTTTGGGACATAACATCCTTCCATTTTCATATATCAAAAACCAAAACCTTGGTGCAAAAAGACTTTGGAATTAACATAAATCTGAAACCTCCCACTTGAGAATATTTACAACTATAGCCCAAAAGACATAATCAAGAATATATCAAAGAAATATGAAATCTAGGTTGAAAATTTTGGCATATATGCTCATCTACATGTTCCTTCTTTTCTTTAGCATTCCTGTTTACATGTATTTTTTTGTGTGTGTGGCAGTCTTCAACTCCAAATTAATTCGTGTAAATAACATAAATACTGCTTAAAGTACTTACTGATTTTTATTCTTTAATCTTTATGCAACCCAGAAAAATATCTGGAGATACTAAACTGTTCCCCTCTAGAAAGCTAGATAACAACTTTCAAGGTTTAGGGTGCAACTGCTTATATCAAGTGAAATTTCACCAAGGAAACCTGCAGAAAAGCACCACGCAGAGCTTCTGCAGAATTCGTTGGGGAACTGCTGTTGACGATATTGCATAAAAGATGTTTGTGTTTCTTCTGTTCAGTTCAAACCAGGTAATCATTCATTCATTAGATGATTAAAATCTAGCAACTATTGAAGGGCAAGGAAAAATTTCCCAGGTAACTGATTAGAACATGTGGCAGCTTCTTCAAATACATTGGCTATCTGATATGAATATACATGACTACGTAATGTAAGTGATCCTTTGTTTACTTACAGGCAGGAATGTCTTACTCTTTATGCTCTTCTAACAAGAAGAAGGCCGAACGATAAACATCATTACTAGACTGATATCATCGGTCAATCTTCAGGGAAAGATAAACAAAGAACCATCCCAGATTGCAACCCAGTAGATTAACCGCTAACACTCACTTCGCAAGCATAGCATGCCATAATTAAAAAAAAAAGATTTAAGTTGAACAAGCTAAACCCCTTCTATGTTTCACACTTGAAATTAAATGTTTAGAAGAGAGAAATAATATTTTATGAATTTTAATAGTATAACTAATATTATAATCTCCAAAATGGAGAAGCTCTTGGAGATGAACATAATTTTTTTTTTTGAAGATTTGACTTTTGTGGAGAATCTGTTAGAGATGCTCTAAATAACCATCTAAAACTATTCCTACATTATGCACTCATAACCAGTAGAAAGTTGGGAAAAGTTGAAGTACATCTGGAGAATGTAGGAAGTGAAAAGATGTTTACAACACCAGTAGGCTGTATTTGCATGAAAATAATCGAGACAATTGACAGTCAGTCTGACCTTTGTTAGGGTTGTTACTTTTCCAGCGGGTGAAGCCCTAGATATATTCCTGTCACCATCCACTAGCAAATAACGATACCCCTTAACATGATAGGCATTCTCACCACCCCATCCTTTTGAAAGCTTCTCTTCAACTTTAAAGATCTTTGTAGATACCTGGCAGATGCACAAATAAACAAATTCAGGAAGTAGAAAAACAAAAACAAAAAAAAAAGATTGCAAGATACTAAAAATATTAACAAAAGTGTGACGTTTGTGTTTCCTTTATTCAAAACGAAACTAGAACATCTACTTTTTTCCAAGTAGCATACATCTAAGAGCCATCGACAAACTTTTCTTTTTCAGAATCAAAATTCCATGCCAATCTGTGTTATTTAAGCCTAGAGTAACAATACCTATTGGAATTGGACATGCGAACACTCCACCCTATATAAGCTCTATATCAACCTAGTCTGGGCATGCTTACAATTGCATTTATTTGTTGAGTGCACTTCCAATTTTCTCAACCAACCCACTGTATCACACGGTTCTCTTTAATTGTGACCTCTTTAACTCAAGGTGTCTTACTCTTACCACAGTTAACCATATAACTTATAATAGGATCAGAAATGAGATCTACATGACAAGGTTGAACAAAAGCCGAAGAAGTTAAATTAAATGTATTTCAGTGCATGTAGCAATAAAGCTCAAGATATATATATGAAATGCACACATTTTCCACAAGAAACAACCACCTGAAGCATGAGTTTGAGTTTGAAAGAAACAAGAAAACTCAAAGATAACCGTTAAACAAACAATAGTCATTACAGCCCTATAAAAGAATTAGAATTGTTAAATAACATCAAGAGCAATCAAAGTAAGCTGCTGCTGCAATATAGTTTAGAGATATGATAGAGATGAGGCTTCAAATAATTAGGAAACAAGAAACTAAAACACTTGTTCAGGAGCAGGTGGTATAATCACAAGGCATAATAGGAAGACTGACATTTTCAAGAAGTTGCTGCTTTAACATGGAGATCCCCTCCTCCCCATTAAACATGGAGGTAACAGGTATAAGGAGAATTATGGTAAGGCTTTTATGCTGATAAGCACACAGGTACATTTTACGCTCTGTTTGCTGAAGCCATATTGTTGGGGTGGTGGGGACCAAGTTACCAACTTCTACACCCCAAATATCAGTAACAAGAAATCCATCCTTCCCCCTCGACCACTTGCCATGTTGTAAGGACCTCACTATGCGATAATTGTCACCTCCTGCAGAAGTGGTATCCCGGAACCCATGTAACCGATCAAAGGATGACCCAGTATTCGCCAACAGAGAGCCTGGCTCAGTATGAGAAGAAGCATTCCCTTTGCGCAAATAAGACCAGGTACTTCCTCCAGAAGATAAAACTCGTGGGGTCAACCTTAGGATACCGTATGAAAACAGATTAATAGTGTCATCCTGAAATACATTAAAATGATTATCAACTCACACAAGGAAATGAATATGATTACATCTAGCATCAGATCATATCATACGACATCAACGAAAAGATAAGAGCCCAATAAATGTCTTCACTTTTAGAAACAGTAAGAACAATTCCAAAAATACACCATGTTAGAAAACAGAAGGTACTTGAGACAAGTTATAGACTTATAAGATCGACATTAATGCAACTTTGATTGTGTGTGGACTGTGGAGAGAGAGAGAGAGAGAGAGAGAGAGAGACTTAGGAATCAAAGATACAACATACAGGGGTTAGTGTTGTGGACACCAGCAGATCCTGGAACAAGATCACCGAGTAGCCTAAGGTGTTCCCCATGCATGAATCTAATGCTCCGACAAGAGACTGCATAAACGAGAAGTAGTTTAACTAAACTACAGTTTAAATAGAAAATATTTCCTAAATGCCCAAGAAAACATAAAATGAGAAACAGTTTTGGGCAAGTTAATAGGAGAAATTCATAGACCAATTTTAGGGGCTTGTGAAGCAGACAACATTTGACAGAACAAAATATATTTTTGTCCATTTTGTTGCTTCTTCCTCCAATTCCATCCTCCTCTTTCAATTAATTATAAGAAGTAATTTGAGTAACAATTCCCTCATAAAACAAACAAATATATTAAAACATGTAGATGATAGACCTCATAAGATACGATTCACGGAACTTCCTAACCCGATATTCGTAACTCAACAGACTGCAGTTCATAGATGTTGAACCATGCATATACTACAAAACTGGAAGTGAAAGGACCGTTCTTGGAGGCCAACATATATCCATGTAGGAATCCAATAAAAATTCAGCCACATAAAATTACTTGTTTCAGCAAATACGTAGGCATCATCATCATTCAGACAAAAACTAAGCTGAGTTCACATGAACAAACTATTGATGCATAAATACACGATTCATAAAAGTTAATATGAACTGTGACTTAAGAAACTTCCCTCACATGGATAGATAATGCTAGCAAACACATCTTATCTAAACAGAATATAATGCAGCGCCACCGAGGCTCAAGCCTAATACCTCTCTTAGGCGAAGAAGTTAAAGCAAATCAAACTTTACAAGTCTACGCAAAGACAGCATTTTTAAAAATTATATGCGCGTGTTAGAATTACGAGATGGCCCAAGAATACTAAAAAAGATGCATGCTATAGATCCGACCTGTACTTCAATTGCAGCCTCCCGTCCTACAGTCAACATCTGTACAGTCCCACGCTCCTTTAAAGAGTCACGAAAATTAGGTAACAGGAATTTGTTGCCCATGAGAAAATCTGCCTCAAAGACAAAATGCATATATAAGAGAGAGGTACAGCAACTTCAGCATTGCTCCAGTAGCACAAACCCATTGGAAAATCATTTGAAACAGAAACTTCAGCATTACCACAGCACCACAACTCCAAGGGAGACCACTTTTGATATGCTGACAATTAGCGACCTCCAATAAAAAATTTAAAAAAGAGAAGATCTATATGATCCATGTAGGACATGATTCAAAAAAGGGCTTACCACTAAGGTAATCCATGATGAAGGTATACAAGTGACTTCGAATTAGTCCTCCACCAGGTTCTTTATCAAGCAACAGTCTTATAGAACCATGAAACATAACAAAAAGAGAGTGTACTTCCTTAAGAACGCTTCGAAGTGCTTCAATTCTCCATATGGCTTCTGTCTCCTTGCTTTTTGCAACCACCTGCAACAAGGTAAAGCGGGACCAAAAGTACTCACCTGAAGATCACTATGGTAATGAACATGCACATGGTTGGGGAAGAGAAAATAATGAACATATCTATCTTTATGGCAAAACAACGTTAAACTCATTTATACTACTTTTACAAAAATAACTTCTAACACGAGTAAATAACAAGACCAAAACAATCCCCAAATAGAAAAAGATATAAGCTAAATTTAGCACATCTTTTTATTATAATTAACCTGGATATCCAACACGCTATGTGAGCCGACTAATCCCAGGGCGACCACCTGCTTTGCAGATAGCCCGGAGTCACCGCATTTGAACCTCCGTGGCCACAAGGGGATTTTTATTCCTCCTTGGATTTGAACCTGTGACCTCCTGGTACTTTTGACCTTTGGAGCCAAGCTCAAACCAATCAGACACCATCCTTGTGGTTTAATTTAGCATATCTTTGTTGTGACTGTAACTTGGAAAAGGATTCCATTATTTACTAATACAATTAATGATCTATCAAGTATACAGACAATCAGACCTGTTCATATTTAAATTACGGAATAAAATAACAAAGATTGATTATGTTCTAAAAGGAACAAACAACTTACCATTACCATCCAAATATCAGGCTCTGCCTCAAAGAAGACATGTGAATGCATTTCTGCTTCTATAACCTCACAAGCTGCTTCAGGAGAAAAGATTCTGGAAGACCACATTCATAAACCAATGAGCAAAGAAATGCGGATGTGGGGGAAGACCAAGGACCTCAAACCATATTTACATATTTCACCCAATAATTTATTCTGTTTTGGGTAGAATGAATGTAAATGGGGGTTTGGTTTGGAAACATAAAAAACAAGATAGTGTGGGATATTCAGTATATAGTATTAACATAACTAAGAATTTCCTATATAAGAGCTTGGCACCACTTCATCCCAGTAGAGCTCGTTATGAACATATAGTTTCAACACACACACAGACAGTCACAGACATATTAATCAATCAGCTGGTGTTGGCAGCTGAACAGTAATTTAGCACCATATGCTCCCAATTATATACAACTACGATGAATATATGTGGTACGAGTGGCTGCAGACCTCGTGAAAGTGATGAGTCCTTCACTGAGCCCAATAACAGAAAGTTGGGCCGGAAACGGCAAATCAGCAGGGAAAAAGAACAAAATCTTCTCCAGTTCCTCCCCTTCATGTTGTCCCCTTCTCAAATCAAATATGCAAATTTTCAGTGGTTCACTGAGAGTGGTAGTAGCAGCAGATGACAAACCCATACTAGAAATTCCCTTATCATTCACCTTAAATCAAACAAAATAAAACAAATCACTGCAAAACCCACACACTTGTAACATATATCTTGCAAAAACGTATGCTCTGAAACTGAAATGGAAACCCTAAATCTAAATAACCAATTTAATCTATTTGGATTGATCCTAAGCAGAAATTAAGATTATAAACTTTGACATAACTCATTGCAAATACTTTAATTCATACAGTGAACTATAATATAATTAAAAAGGAAAGGACACGAATCGTATGAAATTCTACTATGTTAGTGTGCGTTTGTGGCAGATATGTACATTAGAGGAAGATATGAAGGTGATTACCGGGAAATCGGATCGATTGGAAGGCCGGCGAATGGTAGGTGTGTGTCGATAAACAGCCACGGTGGGCGGTGGGTACGACGAACTGAAGCCTAAACCATGGTGCAACACTACAAAAACAAACCCAAAGTCAAAACGTGTACCCAATGCCCACAACACGGTGATGAAACAAAATGGCCACAAGGTATATGGTAAAAAAAATGAGTAATTTACATTTTCAGTCCCTGTGGTTTGTAAGAAATTATAATTTTTATCCTTATGGTTTAGTAACTGCGGTTTTTGTCCTTATAATTTATAATTTATTGCTATATTCGTTCTTATAATTTACAATTTATTGTTGTTTGATCTTTATGGTTTATAATTCTTTAATATTTTGGTCCCTTGTATTGAAGGTATGAAACGATCAATGAACGAAAATAACAATAAATTGCAAATCATAGAGACGAAAATCACAATCACTAAACCACAAGAACGAAAAATCGAAATTATTAACAAACCACAGAGACTGCTCCCTATGGTTTATAATTTCTTTTTGTTTTGTTCCATGTACTTCAAAGTATGAATTGGTACATGGACAAAAATAGCAATAAATTGCAAACCATAGTAACAAAAATCATAATGTCTAAACCAAATGAATGAGAATCCAAGTTATTAACAAACCATAAAGACAAAAACCGTAATTTACTCAAAAAAATTATTATGAATTACACGTTTGTTAATGTATACAGTTATATAAAATGTGTGTTTATAATTTATTATAACATACTTACAATTTTAAAATTTTATATTTGAATCTTATAAAATTAACTAATAAATACGATCAAATTAGAATAAATGTCAAGTTCTATTGATATTGCAGAATATTTCATATATTTTGAATCTTTTTAATTATATATAACAAATTTTTTTTGGTTTGCAATAAAATGTTACATCTTGCTACATTGTACCAATAGAATAATTAAACATAATATGTATCAATTGACAAACAGTCACTACTAAAAAAAGGACATCACCGACGGATTTTTCTGGCGGAAGTTCCGTCGGAAATATTCCCGACGGATCCCAAAAAAGTCAAACAAAGTCAACGTTTATTCATATCCGCCACAGATCCCCCACTGAATTTTTTGGGGAAAATTAAAATTAGTTAAAACCGATTTGTGATGGATTTCTGACGGATTTCTTATTTATTCGAAACCGTCACAATCCGTCGGGAATCCGTCGCAACATTTGCTAATTTTTAGAAAAAATTAACTAATGTTAATCCAAAACAATTTCCGACGGATTTTTGAAGAAAATAGAAAAATTAGTGCTATTTTTATTTTTAGATAAAAACTGGTTAATATTTTTGAAGAAAATAGAAAAAGTTTACCGACGGATTTCCGACGAAAATTCCGTCGGTAAATCTAATATCATTTTAGATTACTTCTAATTAACCCGGACAATTACTAATAGGGCTGTAAACGAACCGAACGAACACGAACGAAGGCTTGTTCATGTTCGTTCGTTTAACTTAACCGAACAAACGAACGAACACGAACGGTAAACGAACGAAAATCTGTGTGTTCGTGTTCGTTCGTTTAGAAATGAGGTGTGTTCGTGTTCGTTTATGTTCGTTCGTTAACATGATAAACGAACATAAACGAACGAACATAAACGAACGGGCTAAACGAACATAAACGAACGGGCTAAACGAACATAAATAAATATTAATTGAATTCTAAGTAATTAAATAAAATATTGTATATTAAATTTAATATATAAACGAACATAAACGAACGATAAATGAACGAACATAAACGAACGGTAAATGAACGAATGTTCACGAACATAAATGAACGAACGTAAACGAACGGTAAATGAACGAACGTTCACGAACATAAATGAACGAACGTAAACGAACGGTAAATGAACGAACGTTCACGAACATAAATGAACGAACGAGACTCTTGTTCATGTTCGTTCGTTTAACTAAACGAACACAAAAAATTGTTCATGTTCGTTCATTTATTAAATAAACGAACTTCCCGCCGAACGGTTCGCTGAACGTTCGGTTCGTTTACAGCCCTAATTACTAACATATTATAAAATTTTCCGACGGATTTCCGACGGACATATCCATCGGAAAATACAAATCCGTCAGAAAGGCATTTAGCGGCGGGGGTTTTTCCGACGGCAAAATCCATCGGAAATCCGTCGGAAAGTTGTTTTTCCGACGGATTTTGCCGTTAGAAAAACCCGATTTTTTAGTAGTGATAGTGCCTTAGAAACTGTTTATCAATTTTTTTTGATTAAGTACTAACCAGGGTAAGATGTATGAATAAGGTAGGTGCTTACTGCAAATTATTGTTTTACGTAATATTATATATTAAAACTTTGGATCAGTAAAAATGATAATTATACTACCTCTATTTACTAAACGTTATACATTTCATTTTTCTTGAATATTGACAAATGCATTATTGTTCTATCTAGAATGATTAAAAAAAAAAAAAACTAGTATTGTAATAGCAAGTTTCATGTTAATATCTTCATAATAAACAAAGGGATTTGATTGCCGAGATGTTCCTTTTCCAATATATTTCTTTTATATTCATACATTCGATGAATCTTCCCTTGATCACCCTAGAGGTATCATATGATTCTTCAATGTGGAGATTCATATGAGATCGTTGAAGTTTCATGAATTCCTCAAATTATAGGTGGCGATTTCATTTTGAGAAGGAAGTCGAGTACGAAATTTCCAGTCAATCGGGAATATCCTTGCCATGCTTTTTTGGAAACATCAAAAGTTGTGGATGAACATGACTCTAATAGTTATGTGTGAGATTAGCAAAGATGGAGCGTTGATTCAAAGGGGATTAGAAGTGGGAGGTGGTGCATATGATAATCGATGTTTGATTGTTCATTATTGGAATACTCATACAGTCAATTGTTGTCAGTGAAAGAAAAGGAGATGGGTAGACATGAAAATCAATCGTTCACTGTAGTAGGCATATATTATAACCCTGTTTAGACTTTGGTATGCATGAGAATGAGCTCCGACCCGTCGAGGAACCCCGTCGGGATGGGGATTCCCCGCTAAATCAGGGATGGGGATGGAGACGGACGGAGACGGGTATCGTACTTGACACCCCACCCCGTACTTGCTATATATATTAATTAATAAATTAAATATATATTTATACATGTATATATGTATCTTATTTATTTCAACTAAAGCGGTAATTCATAATTTCCTATTTCCGAACTAGATTTATAATCTAAAATTGTTCTTTGTTGGATGTTAATATGTATTATTTTGGATGTCAGATCAAATACAATTACTTGATAAGTTTTGTATATTACTCGATATAGTTTTATATTACTCAATATCTTTTGGTACTTTAAGTTTTTTTAGATTAAATTGATTTTTTTTGTTTTAGTTTGTTAATTCTTGCATGATGCTGTGGGTTTTTTTGTGTGTATTAAATTAGATTCATTTTGGTTTTAGGTTTATTAAAAATGTTTAAGATTTAAACATATATAGTCTCACACATATTTAATTTAAAATAACTTACATAAATGGAAAAAAAAATCTCCGTTTCTCTGTTGGAGATGGAGATGTCATTATATTCCCCGATGAAGAGGAGAACGAGAATAAAGATTAATAATCGGGGATGAAGATTGAGATCTCCACCCCATTCCCATGCCTAGACTTTGGAGTAATATGTTTAAGAGGATAAAAGGTAGTAAGGACGTTTTGGTTACAAATACAAAACAATCGTTAATGGGATCGAATATATGATTTATGAAGGTAAAGATTTGTTAAATTCCAAAAAATAATGTAATAATTTTATTTAATTGTATTTCCTTTAAAAAACTAGTATAGTGAACTCGGGAAGATCGATTGATAAATATGAATCTCGAATTTAATTGTAATTTTTATTTGAGTAATAATAAAGAAATTAAAATTAATTTCCATTTTATCTTATTTGCAACGGAAACAACAAAGAGCGGTGATCGAATTAGGAAGGAAGGTCGTTTTAACGTGAGAATTGTAATGCCGAGCGGGCCCACGACGCTTTATGGTAAAAACCACCCATTCCTCCCCACATGCAACCCTCCTTCTCCCCCTCGTCTCCATGTCTACCCCCACAAAATCTCTATCGCTAACGTTCTCAACTGCTTTCCAAACACTTCCATGAAATCATGTTCATGAAACTGAAATCTGTAAGTTGAATCATAAGTATCCAATTTGATCAGTACTCGCTTGGTAGCGGTTCGTGATGAAGAAGTTTAGATCAAAGCTACCTCGCCGGAGACGCTCACAAATTTCTCCTATTCTTAGATCATCTCCTGCTCGGAAAGTCGATTCTAGTTCGATCATTGAATCTTCTTCCAACTTGACGCGAGATGTAGGATTATCGTGCGATTCCACCAGCAGAGTATCGACAAACAACAAATCGCTGAAGAAGAGAAGTTTTGCTGATGAGTATGGAAGCATTGCAGGTGAGTTTCGGAGGATTACGAGGTCTTATAGCAAGCGGATGGAGATCATGGCCGGGAAGGATGTTGAGTTGTCGGAGTCGTCTTCGTGTGTGGAATTGTTTAACTCGAGCTCGAAGAGCGTTGTTCGAAAAGGACCTGCGGTTTTGAAAGATGCAAAAGCAGAGAATGATGATGAAGTTTCAGTTACTGTCTGTGGAATCGACAATTCAGAAGTGACAACTCGATCCGAGTGTTCATTTTTTGTGGAAGATATCAATGGAAGAGATAAGCTGCAAGGAAATGAAGAAACAGATGTCGTTTCAGTTTCCTCTCGATTAGCTTCTCCTCAAACAAAAATGGGAACAACTTCGCACTTCAGATTATCAGATATAACAGTCAGCGAAGGTCAATCAGCCTATACAAACGCAAAGGACTATGCCGTTTCAGTTGCTTCTCGTCTAAAATCTCAACCCGACCCAAAATCCGAAAAAATTACTTCGTACATCAATAAAGCAGAAACAAATAAAACACTCAACGATGATCAAGCAGAGAATTGTGGAGAGTCAAAGCTGATTTCAGCTGATTTTGATCTGACATGTTCAGAACATTTCTCCTGCGAAGAAGAAGAGTGTCATTCGTCGGCCCAGTGTACGGATGCTACTATGGAGAGTTCAGAGATGGAATTTTCATCCGACTATACTCCGTCGACATGGTACAAATCTGGCAGTCAATTTTCCGAACGATCAGATGGAGATACTACTCCATCACCTACGTTCCAATTGTTTCTCCTCTACCGTAAAAAATTCTGCAAATCTGAGTTTTTTGCAAAACTCTCCTCAGCAGATAACGACGAACCTTCTAATAAAATTACTGTAAGTTGATTATGCCTCCGCTTCTTATTCGTTTTCTAGTTTTTGTATATCCACGTTGATAATTCTCCTATGATTATTTGGTTAAGAAGTTGTAACCTCTTGTGAATTACTTGTTTGTGATCATGTTGCTGCTTTCACTTAATACTTATAGTGCTCAAAAGATGTATGATGTGCTTTGAAAGTTGCTCAATGTATCACCCAATTTTATAAAGATCGGCATAATGTGGTTTAGTCTATAATGATCAGAAACTGTTGAGGCCAGAAGATGAAGAACATGAAGAAAGCTACCAGATGATGAGGAAAAGGGAGAGGAGGCAAGTGTATCTACACGACTATGCCGAGGAATATTGTGGGATGAAGGAATATGGGCATTTGGTTGTAGAGCAAAGGTTGCATATGGTGTATTGGATAATTGAGGTCCGTTAGAACTGCTTTATGATGCAAATTACTTTCTTGTAGAAATTTGTATTCTCATCAGTTGCATACTTCACTACTTGCTATTTGTATCTATTGATTCCGGCACTCCCTTCAGTTTAATTGACCCATTAAATATTAGTGGTATGATGCACTCTGTTCTATAATTATTGAACTACTAACTGGGCAACACACTTTTGAAGTTTTAAGTCTCAAAGTTAGCAAAATGTTACAACTAGTTAAAAGTTTTCCTTAAAAAGCATAAAGTGCAACAAGTGTACAATTAGATGGAGATTCCTTGTTATATCCCTCAAAAAAATACCGTATATGTGAGTTTATTAAGCTTATCTCTGTTGATTGATCATTGATTCAGCTCATACTTTTTAAAAGCAGCAATCAGCTAACAAGGACTTGCAGAAGGAAACCATGTTCTTAGGTGTCAGCCTCTTGGACCGGTTTCTGAGCAAAGGATACTTCAGAAACAAAAAGGAGCTTCAAATTGCTGGGATTGCTTGTCTCACCCTTGCAACAAGGATAGAAGAAAACCAGCCCTTTAACAGGTGTGGTGCTTTCTTATTTCTTCGATTGCTTTTCTCCTTAGTTTTTCTCATTCATTATTAGTTGATGACAATCAGATTACAGATTATCCTTGATGTAAGCAAGTAAAAAAATCAAGGTCATATGCATTTCCAGCTTTTTATTGCCTTGGACTCGTAGTTAACATGATTTGGTAATGTTCTTTATGCACAATAAATCATATTGAATTTGATCTTAATTTTTGTAGTGTGTGGTTATACTTCAAATGTTGCAGTATTCGACAGAAATTATTTAACATAGGAAGCAATGAATACAGCAGATCTGAAGTAGTGGCCATGGAATGGCTGGTCCAAGAAGTCCTCAACTTCCGGTGCTATTTACCAACCATCTACAATTTCTTATGGTAAACACTATTCTCGGTCCATCACAATCACAACTGTATCTACACATGCTTTTTACCATCTCTAATGCACAAATATTAATATAGTAATCGAGGAAATGTACTATGCGTTCTTATTCATGGCCATGTGAAACAAATGAAAAGGTTTTATCTCAAAGCTGCAAGAGCCGATCAAGATGTGGATAGGATTGCAAAGTATCTTGCAGTGCTTGCACTGCTGGGCCATGAACAATTGTGCTACTGGCCTTCAACTGTAGCAGCCAGTTTAGTCATCTTAGCATGTCTAGCAGACAACGAACAATCATCTCACCAACAAATCGCATGGGTATAAACTTGATTCATGTTTACACGTATAAATATAACTTAATCACTTTGCATTTGCAGCCAGAAGTGTTGTCAGCAAGCAAATGAAATCTAACCATTTATTAATCCAACTTTCCTGGTTTTGCATTTTCAGATATATGATGGGTCAAACGATAAAGATATACCTAACTGCATAAAGGTAATAAAGTATAAATCGTATCTTATATTGCTGTTTTACATGCAAGTACTCCCTCCATCCAAACTAAAGAGGCGCATTTAGCTTTGGTTGTCGAAAAAACTTAGGATTAAACGTCAAAATCAAAGTACTTCAAAGACTAGACCTCTAATTTATAAGAGAAAAGAAGTCAAATCAATTCCAAATTTCTGAAACAGTTTCTTCAATCATAAAGCTAAAAATGCACTCCTTTATTGGATTCATTGGAGTATATAGATTACCTCACTGCATAAAGCTTCCTAATTTTGTGCTTGTATGTTGACAGTGTCTGGAATGGTTGGTTAAGTACATATGCTAATATGGAAACAGAAAGGAAGATTCGTCCATAAAAGTTGTCCACTTTAGAAATCAGTGCAAAGGCAACAGTTGTCAATAAGTGGAACAATATTCCTAAAAGCACCATTTGTTTAACATAGTTACAGGTGCTATAGATTTTTTGACACTACTGGTATAGATATTATCTTTTATGTTGTAAACTTTTGGTAAGCAAAAGAAGATATGCAATCTGTATAGATCTTCTTCCACTTACCAGTCTAAACTTTAGAAATAGGATAAATTCTTTTCATTAGATACTTCAGGATTCTCATCCTATACAGGAATTGACTTCTAGATTTAAGTAGAATAAAATTGATCATGTTCAATTCTAATTTCTCAGTTTCAATATGATCTGTTTCTTCATCTTTATATCCAACTAGCCACATTCCCAATCACAGTCAGTAAAATGGATCTTCAGTTATTTGGCGGGTTGCTGGTATCCGATGATTTGGCAGGATTACCCGATGATGTGGCAGGATTATCTGGTGATTTGGCAGGATTACCCGATGATGTGGCAGGATTATCCGGTGATTTGGCAGGATTGTCCAATGATGTGGCAGGATTGTTTGTTGATTTGGCAGGATTGTCCAATGATATGGCAGGATTATCTGTTGATTTGGCAGGATTATCCGATGATGTGGCAGGAACAGTTACAGGAGAGTCTTTTGTTGAAGATTCATCAACGTCATTAACTCTGTTTGTATTCTCCTTGTTTAGAACCCCCTTTTCCTCCTCGGCCTTGTCAAGCTTCTCTTTTGTTTTCGACCCCACGTCTTCAGCTGCCTTTGCAAACGCAGATAAAGCATTTGAAACCATCAAAACTCCACTGGATACGTAATGGTTGCGCATGAGAGCATTACTGGCGCTGGCCGCTTTCTGTTCAGCTACAGCAATGGCCGATTTTGTCGCTTCACTCACCTGGTAACGCTCATCCACTGCTTTCATCTTTTCATTCACCACTGCTCTTCCCATGCTTAAATTCTTGGTCAAACCTATCTTACGGTCAAGGGAAGCATAAGTAGTGGAGGCGCTGGTTGTGAACTGGTGCTTTTCGTCAAATGATTGGGCCTTTCTCAGTGCATCTTTTCCCAGAACAAATCCCTTTGCAAGCATGGTGCTTACCACATCCTCCGCCTTTTGTACAACTTCACGCCTCCTCTCATCTCTATCTGTAACTGGGGTCTGTGTCTCACCCTTCAGAGTTCACAAAAGTTAACACAGTGATTTATATGCACAAATATATTATGTTACATATATATACATCTATACACACACACACACACATGATAGATGGTTAACACGACGTACTACTACAAGCCTAGTTCATGTATGGGTAGAAGGATCAGGGAGTACCACAAAGCTACCGATTGTTATTTGGTTCCATAAACAGGGAGTTAGAACATATTATCAGAAAAAGCCAAGAACATACTGCAGTTAGAGGAGGAGCCTCTGGAGGCAGCTTGTAGTTGTCAACAGGGGTTACTGAAACTGAAAAATCCGCAATTGTAGCTCCCTGTAAATTATGTGTCAAAGTGAACGATACCAGCACCAAGGATGCAATTCATTTGTTTATCAAAACAATAATTGGAAAAAAAAATCTAAACAAATTCAGATGACCATTGAACTAGTTAAAGTTTGTTACCGTCAAAAGAGCTGCTGTATCTGCTCCCTTTGAATCCTTGAAGGTGACAAAAGCATGCTTAGTGGTTTCACTTTCACTGCATAGTGAACCATCTACGGTCATAAGCTTACTTATACACGTAGATATTAGACAAGTCAATATTGAACGATTATCTTGAATGACCCGCCTCTCCCCCCTCGTGGTTTGTCAATATTGGGGAAGGAAGCTTTTGATCATGTTTGGCAAATTAGCCGATTATCTAACAGTTAGCTGAAAAGTTAGTTGTCATAAAATATAAGGGACATAACTGGAAAACAGTGGAAAAAAGCTTCTTTAGTGTTTCAATAAGCGAGCTCATAAGCTAGTTGGGCTAACAACCAAGCAAGGTTTGATTATGGTTGGCAAACATGGCCTTTATATGCGGTCTTTCTTTTGCATTTTACAAAGAGACTAATTACCAAGATTTGAACCTGTTACATTCCATGGCATTACGAATAAATACTGAAGAAGCCTACTTCCAAGAATGGCATAAAGCGTACCTTTTCATTTCAATATAATGGATATCACCAGAAAATGAGAAGAATTCCCAGATATCCTTCTCATTGACAGCCATCGAAACATTACTCACTTTGACTGTTTTTATCTGTTGATTGAGATTAGAACGTAAATCAATAAACTGTTATTGCTTAAGAGTAGGAAAGAAGAACGATTTTAGTGATTCTAATCCTTGGTAATGGAAGACCAAATTTCAAGTAATTTCGGTTCTCACTTGTGCTTTGGAATTAGGTGTGCTAGCAAGAGGAACATCTGTTCCAGTCTTTGATTCGTTACCAGCCATGGAAACCTGCAATTTCCAGATGGTCAATCACCTATTCTCAGATGAGATATTTGGATTAATGACTCCAAAAACCACAAATTCTTGATTCAATTATGCATTACAGACTCTTGATTCAAACATATGATCCATTCACATATATATTTTTAATTAAGAAACAAGCTCCATCGATACCCATATCGTATATACCATAAAGAAATTTAAATGTAGATTAATAGAAGAAACTTGCATGCATCTGGGGAGAAGATGATTAGAAAAAGGAAATAGAATGCGTTGATACGTACCGATGATTGAAGATTTAGAGAAGTGGGGAAATAGGGATTAGAAAAGGCGTTTGATATGGAAGAGAGGAGACGGAGGAGTTTGGCGGTGGCCGTTGGGAGAACGATAACCATAAACCATGAAAAGGGATATGCGGCAGATTTCCGCGGGAATCAATATCATCCTCTCCCCTTCTCGCTCCAAACATTTCACAATCTCAAATTAGTAACTAGTCAAAGGAAGACGTTATAAATTAAATTAATCCAAGTTATACATTAAGAATATAAATAGTAAGACTCGCATCTTCCTTAAAATTCGAGATTACATGTAAATGATGTATGAATATAACTTTTTAAAATTTATATGTTTGAATTCATATAATTAACTGATAAATATAATTAAATACAAGATAAATATCTTATTTTAAATATAAATAATTTGAAATATAATTAAAATAATCATTAAATTCTAATAACCATAAACACTTCATTTTAAATTTATATTTTATTCAATATAAAAATATTAAGAACCATACAAAAGGATATTATAATATCGATAGAGACATGTAATAAAATGAAACATAAAAAGCAATATGTATCTCGTTGCATCATGGGAATACCCTTCTGATACATACATACATATATATATATATACATACATATATATATATACATACATATATATATATACATACATATATATATAGGGGGAAGATCAAATGTTAACCAACAATTTTGTGTTAACTTTGAAAACCATGGCAACCAATCAAATTTCATTCTTCTTGTAGGTTTATGTCATGTTCACATTTTAATTACAAGGGTATTTCAGTAAATTGATTTGATATGTAACTCCYAAACAATTAATAGGGAGTTACAAATCATCAAATCCCAAAAAATATGCATTTATAATATTAATATTTTTATTTTTTTTAATATCGATTTTCAATGTTCATTGTTTTATCAGTATTTAATTCGCATAGAAAACACGGTGATAAAAATTTCCGGCATCGATCAAGCTAATATGGATAAACGCAATGGAAAATAAATCGACAACAGTGAGAAAATTAAAATGGTTTATGATGACAATCGGAGTTAAAGGCCGGGAATTGAAAAAATTAACCAAAGCGAATGTCTTGGTAATATATTTTTTATTTTTTTAGATTCGTTTTAATCGAAATTATGTTCATTACGATGTATTGTGTTTTTTATAATTCATCTTGTATTGATAGCTTTTTTCTTTAATTATTAAAATACGTACCTAATTTACATGTTCAAATGGAAGTACATGCACGACCCATTTTCGTATTGTCATATTACCGACTTTATGAATCATGAACCATTGTGTTCATGTTACTTTCTATCATATGAACACAAGTGTTATTTTTTAAGCTTGATACCAAATCTTTATATTTGTGTAAGTGTTTGCACCCGATGTTCATAGCGTTGGTATTATGTGTTCATATATTTTATACGATATGAACAAGGGTGAACACGATATGAACAATAGGTGAACACAATATGAACAAGGGGTGAACCTTAAACGGTGTGGATGCAATGCATGTATAAAACTCCAATTGACAAAGGATCGCTTTTGAATGTGTTTATAATGAAGAAACTATTGTTCACAAGCTGTTCATATCGTGTTCATGCCTGTTTTTTTCTTTCGTGTAGCAGTTATTCTTATTATGTTCATATTGTGTTCATAAATGCTATGCAGTCCAAGTTCATATATATGTCAAATTTTTGTTCGTATTTGACACAATGATTCATATATATATATATAGTTGTTTTCATATGGTTCTTACATTAACAAAAAAATCATAGAATTTTTGATTTTATAACTCCCAATTAATTAATGATATGGGAGTTACATATATTTTTTTATCTAAATACCCTTTTCAATATTGTTCACTTATCTTTATGCAATTTTAAATTTTAAAAAACAAGTTTTTATCATGATTAATCACAACCATTTATTGAAAGATTGAATGACCAAGATCGGTTAACAAAGTTAACACAAAAACTTTGATTAACATTTGATCTTACCCCTATATATATATATATACATACATATATATATATATATATATACATATATATATATACATACATATATATATATACATACATATANATATATATATATATATATATATATATGTATGCACGCTCATTTAGTCCATGCCTATGTATTCTATTCTTATTAAAATAATTTTTCCTTTTTGCATTTTTAATCTTGACAAAAAATTCATTGCTCCCGCTATTATTAAATATGAAATTATTATTATTAAAATACAACCTATCGCATTTGTACAACCAATGCAACCTAATAAATTGAAATATTTATGAAAATGATGAGAGTTCATTTATTATGATTTAAATATTTATGGAATATGAATGCGGTTCATTAATTATGATTAATACTTTATATTAGAAAATAATTAAAACTTCTATAAATTACATATTCATTAAATTAAATGAACGGTTGAGATTAAGTTGTATTGGTTATACAAATATAAGAGATTGTATAATAACTCACTTATATATATATATATATATATATATATATGTTTTTGACAAACATGTTATTTATTATCATGTGTAATATATCTTTTTTAAATAAAAATACAATTTTTAACACTAAAATTTGAGAAATAACTCTTTGAGTATTATTGATATGGATAAATGACCATCAAGCCCTTTTAAACATAAATGCAAATGGTTGGTCATCAAGAGCAAGCCATTTCTTTCCATTTTCCTCCAAAATCCCAATGTCCCCACACACAACTTTACAACTGCTACAAACACAATTTTGTACCCAATGGCCCCAACCTTCTCAATCCTAAACCAATTGTTTATCGTACCCACCCCCGGCTTACCCACCATGCCACCACTCCTCACATAATATCTCCGTCTTGTCAGCGTGTCATCAATGTTACTGCCACCACTACTGATTCTCCATACAGTGGATTGGACACAAATTGTTGCAGCATTAAACACAATATTAAGATCACCCGACAAGGTTATGGCATTTTGTTTCGTGTCAAGTGGCAAGAATCGAAGAGGGAGGCCTTTGGAGAGTTGGTTGTTTTCTTGAACGACAAAAGGAGGGCAAAAACCGTCACGTGAAGCAAGAGAGAGGCCGCCACCACCACTACTGTTTGATTGGACTGGGTTTATGTAGTACTTTATACCTGGCTGGACCTCATGACCATCGATATCAAAAGCGGTCATGCCAGTGCTGGTGGAGGTTGGGGTGGTGTTGACGATGGTCTTTAAGGGTTGGGTAGATGATGGATAAAAGGAGGAGAGAAGTGTACACAAGAGAGTTTGAACGAGAATATTGAACTTCATCTTGTGGTTGTAATGAATGAATGATACAATATCGGTGAGCATTTTATATAGGCATAAATACACATGGCTACGAATTTGTCATATTAGTTATATCTAAGGTATGTATAATTTGGTTTACAGTAAAAAGAACACGTCATATGATATTCAATTACATATTTTAATTAAAAAAAATTATCAGGCACATACTTATATTTTTATAATTATATCAATTTACATTATTTATATTCAAATTTAACAATACTACATAATTATCAAAACTCACATCCATTTAATATATAATGATTAAGATGTTTGATATAAATTGCACTATTAAAAGTATTTGAATAAATAGACATATATATATATATATATATATATATGTGTGTGTGTGTGAGACCAAGGGTTTTTCGTGAGACCCATAAGACCAATTCTCAACCCTTGGATTAGATCTATAATCTGAACATTCATAATCACAAGATTGCTATGAGACTTCTCAATAATCACAAAATTGTTACCGTACAACTTTAGACCATTAGATCATTAGGTTATAATGTTGATCAATGAACATGAATTGGTCTTACGAGTCTCATGAAAAATCATTGGTCTCACGTAAACCCAACTCTCTCTCTCTCTCTCTCTCTCTCTCTCTATATATATATATATATATATATATATATATTACTTTGTATAATAAAATATCATTACTTGTGGTTAACATGATAATCTCAATTGGCCTAATGTGAAGCATGTGACGTGGCGTTAGATGATTGGTAGAAAATTCGTGAGTTAGTAAGTCCGTGTTTGTCTCTTGTATTTATACTTTCGTAACTTTCCCGGGTGTAATATTCTTAAAAAGAATTAATATATTTTTTATTTGGACAAAAAATGTATTATCAGAAACCCTAACCGGTCGTATATAAAACCTGCACTCAAATACACTAATATAATGGAGCATTTTTTAACTCACTTAGTGATTAAGGGGCCGTTTATCAAATACTTACTCAGTAAATGTTTACCAGTAAAATTCAACACTATCACTTACTTATCAAATAATATTTTAGTCAAAAAAATGACATCGTATGCAACAATTTACCCGGTACACGCTAACCATAATAAGAGTCATCACCCTTACTTATCGGGGTAAGACTCTTGATCTTGTCTTGCTCTTACCGGGTAAGATTTTTGATTTTTATCATATTCTTCCGATAATGTAATATGACTTGGTAAGTGTTTATCTGGATAAACGTTTAGTAAACGGTCCCTAAATCCAACAGGAAAGAAAGGATAATTGGGGATCGAATCTCGAACGTAATTGTAGGTAATTTTTATTATTTTAAGTAGGTTTAATAATGTACGTAATTGTTTGTTTTATAAGGTTTTATTAAAGTCAACATATGTTATAGTATCAATACCTTATTAAATAATATTATTTATTAAAAAAGAAGTTATTTTCTAGTAATAAAAAAATTAAATATAAGTAAAAAAAATCATTTATTAATTTATTATTGATGATTATAAATTGTTTTGCATAAATTATGATTAAATGTTTTGTGGTTTCTTAGAGAGAAGATGGCAAGTAGAATGTTAGGAAAAATAGCACCTACTCTTTTTGTCTTATTAATTATATAGAAAATTAAATATTAAATATTATATATTATATAAAGGGGTAATAACTTTATATGTTCACATGTATGAATATAAATTATATGGGTTGAAAATGATGGTATTTATAAAGTGTTAATAATTATAAAATAAAATGGTAAATTGCAAGGAATGATATAAATGAAATTGGGATCAAAACCAATTGTGTGAAAATGGAGTCGACTTAGAATGTA